TCTCTCTTCTTGTTTATTTTTTCTCCTCCAATAGCTGTTGTAATCTCTCTGGTTTATTTTGTTGTTCGAGCTGCCACTGCTGTTGTCTCTCTTCTTGTTTATTTTTTCTCCTCCAATAGCTGTTGTAATCTCTCTGGTTTATTTTGTTGTTCGAGCTGCCACTGCTGTAATCTCTTTTCTTGTTTATTTTGCTGTTCAAGCTGCCACTGTTGCAGGTTTTCTTGCAACTGCTGTAATCTCTCTTCTTGTTTCTTTTCTTGTTTATTCTCTCGTTCTTCTTGTTCCTTTTCTTTTTCCTCTAACAACTGTTGTAATTTCTCTTCTCGTTCTTCTTGTTTCTTTTCTTTTTCCTCTAACAACTGTTGTAATTTCTCTTCTCGTTCTTCTTGTTTCTTTTGCTGTTCTTGTATTGCTGTCATTAAGTCTGCTAGGCTGTAGTTTGATTTGCCGCTTCTCGTTTCCATTTTCTTTATCCCACTCCTGACACCAATTTGTTACGTCTCCGTTTGTTAATTAATTTTCCGTAAATTTTTTCCGACGAAACTTTAACGACACAAGTCCTTACTTAATAAAACTGGTTTATTCTTTCTGAATATAACGTTACGATACACCTAATTTCAACATTCGCGCTAAAACAAACGCTATAACAAACGTTAACTTCAACAATACTCTCTGACTGCAGATCAATTACTGACTACCTACACTGTTCTTTTCGTCACGTTGTGACCATCTTATATATACCCAATATAGTAAATGCTAGGGCACTCACGAAGGAAGAGGATATTTCTAGAAACGTGGCGTGACACTAGTCACGTGACCTCGCTGAAGGAACAATATAGACAGATAATCGAGTGAAGCCGTAAGTGAAATGTGTAAATCATTGGGAATTATAGCGTGTGTTTAAGTAAAGTGACTGTGGAAATTAAGTTTATTGCAAAGTTGTATTGAGATAGAATAAACTAGTTTTATTTATGAAAAGACTTGTATGGCTGAAGTTTCTTGGAAAGAAAAACAAACGACCAGAGACGTAACAATAGTTTATGGTAGCATTACTACTATATTTCATACTGAACCCTTTTATACAGAAACTTAATGGTGGGCTATAATTTATGCACAGTAGTATACACATGTTCATTATCAAAACTCCCTATAGGTGGTGGTTAGTGAGCTCATCTCGCAATCTGCAGGTCGCGGGTTCGAATCCCCGTCCCACCAAATATGCTCGTTCTTTCAGCCGTGGAAGCGTCATAAAGTGACGGTCAATCCCACTATTCGTTGGTAAAAGAGTAGCCCAAGCGTTGGCGGTGGGTGGTGATAACTAGCTGCCTTCCCTCTAGTCTTTCACTGCTAAACTAGGGATGGCTAGCGCACATAGCCCTCGTGAAGTTTTGCACGAAATTCAAAACAGACAAACAAATAGCCAAAAAAATTGAATAAAAATGAAAAAAAAAGGTATACTGAATGGACGTTGAGAACTACATGTATATTAGTATGAATTCCAAGCACAGAATTGTGTATTCTTTCGTCCAAAACTATTCTATATCATAGTGCCGAGTTTAAAATATCTGTACTTTATACTCATTTTTCCCCATTCAATTCTCTGTATAACGGAATGATAAGTTTAAGTACTGCTGGTCTGTAAACAAATAGCGTTACCCATTTGCACCAATGAGAAACAAGGGGCGTTCACATGATTATTATTTATCCGTGGAACGCATGGCTAAGGCAACAGTAAGTAGAAAACAGACCGACTAGAGCATTTACGATCTTACAGGACAAAAGTAAAACCGAAAGTTGGTAAGTATAGAATAACATTTAATTTATTACTTGTTTTTGTTGTTTCTTTTTAACGTAATAAATCGTCCATGTGACTAAATTTTATTCACAATGTTATAATTTATTGTAGAACATACTTCGGAAAAGATATTAATAATGGAAGATTGATAATTATGTAGGTCCATCTTTTTTTCTTTTCTCACATCTTGTTAGCAAAGGCAATTTAGTTTTTCAGAATTACTGGGTGTAACATTTTTTGCAAAAATAATAGAAAATTAGTTATTCGAGTTCAGCTAATAGATAAGGAGTAACAAGTAGTAGTTGGCACTTTTCGTAACTGCTTTGCTGTTGCCAACTTACACTAGCATCCGAACAACATAGCGCTAGTAGTGACATTGCCTTCTTGAGCGGATGACGTTACAGCCACATTAGTACTATTAAAATTCCTGAAAGCTGAAGCATTAGTAGTATTTAATTTCGACTAAGTGTATCTAATTCGTTTAAGAGTTATATCTTAGGTAAGCTTGTTTTGTTTAATTTCTATATGTATTATATATACTATATATTTCTTATATTTTTTCGAAATATAATCTTAAAATTAGACTTGGTTCTGAAATTTTAATGAACGCTGTATTAGAGGTCCTACACTTACTTTTTGTATATGATATACAGTTTTAGAGTAGAGACGAGATGACATAACATGTGAATATCTGCCAAAATGCAGAATTTCTTACTTTACAACGTGAAGTACATCGAATGGTGAAATATTTAGTAAATGTAACTAAATTACCATAGTATGCAATAAACACAAACTTGTATTGTTACATTTTCAGATATATAAATTATAAGGATGAGCAATGGTTGAGTTTTACTTCAGTCTTATTATAACTATGCATAATTAGGTATGTGTTTTGTTATTTGCGATTAGCAGCTGATGAGAAAGAGTGATTATTCTAGTTCTTGTGTAACAGCAGGTCGTGAAGGAAGAACTCGCCTAGCAACATTGGTACACAAAAATATATCTACAATATTTGTGTCATTCTTGGTAGACAAATGATTAGCAACAATACCTGTTCTTCCTAGTCAAACTAACAGCTAAGCTGGGAATTGTGTATATAAAAATACAATGTCGCCCTTCAATGTTTTTCTGGTGTACATTCTGATAGTATATTTTACTTTTGATGGACTGTGTTTTGCTATAGAGATCAGAACTTAAATATTGTGACGTGTTTTTTGTTATTCGTGTTGCAGGTCAACAAAGACTGGAGATTTGAAGAACCACCAAGAAAGTGTTTAAGTTATGAACCTATCTTTTGCTGGTTGTGGCTTTTTAGGTTTATATCACGTTGGTGTTGCTAGCTGCTTTCGAGAATATGCCCCACAGGTTTTGGTCGAAAAGATTGCCGGAGCATCTGCAGGAGCGCTGGCAGCCTGTTGTTTAATATGCAACGTTCCTTTAGGTAGGTTCCTAGTACTGTTGTTTAATATGCAACGTTCCTTTAGGTAGGTTCCTAGTACTGTTGTTTAATATGCAACGTTCCTTTAGGTAGGTTCCTAGTACTGTTGTTTAATATGCAACGTTCCTTTAGGTAGGTTCCTGGTACTGTTGTTTAATACGCAACGTTCCCTTGGGTAGGTTCCTGGTACTGTTGTTTAATACGCAACGTTCCCTTGGGTAGGTTCCTGGTACTGTTGTTTAATATACTGTTATGTCTCTGGTCGTTTGTTAATTACCCGTAGAAATTCTTTCCAAAAAAACTTCAGCGATGCAAGTCCTTTCTTTAATAAAACTAGTTTATTCTTTCTCAATGCAACTTTTCAGCACACAGAATTTCCACCGTCACTTTAACTTAAACACACGCTATAATTTACAACGATTCACGCTCTTTACTTACGGTCACTACCGCTCACTTGACTCAATTATCTGTCTCTATATCTCTCTGTCTAGTATCATCATCTCCACTTTATTTGCCGGGCTTGTATATTAAAATGGAGGGCGTCTAGCAAATGCTAGGATATTCGTTATGTTCCCCAATCCTTCTGTTGTGACGTGTTATTAGCGTCACGTGACTTCCGCTGTCGTAACAATAAATAACATCAGTAAATGATTATCACACGCATGTTATCCAAGTTGTTAATTCCCCGCCTAATGTTACCTCTAATATCTGTATGGATAGAAATGTATAGTAAATATATTAATTGTATTTTCTTTTTTTACTAAGGTATTTTTATGATTTAGTTTAAAGTTTTGCAAGATATTGTTTTAAGTGTTCAATAAATACATTAATTACGTTTGAATATTTGAAAATATCCAAGATTTAAATCAATGTTTGTAGTTTTTCACTCTGCTTTACAAAATAAGAAAAGTTATACGTTGGATACTTGCCAGGAGATTGCCTAGATGGGACTGTAAGAAACATATTTGTTATCATATACATACATATAAATCTACAATGTAAGGTCATATGTGAATAAAACTCAATTTAAAGTATCTGCTGGTGAATTAGATAATCATGACCTTGACATATGTAAAGTGAGTGTCTATCAAACTTACTCGGAATGTTCACCTTAAACTTTGAACATTATTTAATTTGTAGTTTCACGAGCCTTCCTGACTCCCCATCCTTATCACTTCATTTTCCCTTCAAGTATAAACATGTAAAAACAATCAACTCGTATTATACTTCATAACGTAGTTTTATTCAACTTATCCAAGATATGATATATGATGAAGGAAAACAGTAAATAATCATTTACTACATGTATTGTTGTTCAAATTACACTGGATATCAATCAGTTACTACATTTATTGTTGTTGAAACTATCCTGAATGTTACACGTGATGAAGAACAACAGTAAATCATCATGTAATGCATATACTGTCGTTATAACTATACTAGTTATCAATCATTTACAACATGTGTTGTTATTGAAACTATCCTGGATATAAATTGTTTTTCAAATTATACTGCATATTACACACCATAAAGGACAACAGTAAATCAATATGTAATACATGTATTATTATTATTGAAACTATCCTGGATATTTCACATCATGAAGGGCAACAGTAAATCAATATTGTTACGACAGCGGAGGTCACGTGACCCTAGTAATACGCCACGCGCTTCTAGAACGTTAATGAAGCGTTGGGAGACTACTAGATATGGGGTAGTCTTGTATATATAAGACCGGTCAAGAAGCGACGGGAACAATGTGTAATTGAACTGTGGACAGAGTATTGTTGCGTCAGCGAGGTCACGTGACTAGTATCACGCCACGTTTTCTAGAAATATCCTGTTCCTTCGTGAATGCCCGAGCATTTGCTAGATATGTGTTAGTCTTTTATATATATATATATAAGACGGTCACAATGTGACGGGAACAGTGCAATGAGTAATTGAATGTATGCTGATAAAATATTGTTGGCCACGTGAGACGTGAGCATTTGTTATAGAGCGACTGTTGAAATTAAGAAAGGACTTGTGTCGCTAAAGTTTCGTCGGAACGAATTTACGAAAGATTGACTAACGAACGGAGACGTAACAGTATTGTTGAGTCGAGCACGTGAGACGTTCGTTGTGAATTATAGCGTTTGTTATAGCGCGACTGTGGAAATTAAGTGTATCGCAAAGTTTTATTCGGAAAGAATAAACCAGTTTTATTTAAGAAAGGACTTGTGTCGCTAATGTTTCTTCGGAAAGAATTTTTACGGAAAATTAACTAACGAACGGAGGCGTAACAATATGTAATACATGTATTATTATTGAAACTATCCTGGAATTTCACATCATGAAGGACAACAGTAAATCATCATGTAATACATGTATTGTTTTTGTAACTATACTAGATATCAATCATTTACTACATGTACTGTTTTTGTAACTGTCCTGGATATCAACCGCTTAGTGCACGTACTGTTTTTGTAACTGTCCTGGATATCAACCGCTTAGTGCACGTACTGTTTTTGTAACTGTCCTGGATATCAACCGCTTAGTGCACGTACTGTTTTTGTAACTGTCCTGGATATCAACCGCTTAGTGCACGTACTGTTGTTGAAACTGTCCTGGATATCAACCGCTTAGTGCACGTACTGTTGTTGAAACTGTCCTGGATATCAATGACTTACTACAGTAAGTCATCATTTAAAAGATGTATTGTTGTTGAATCTATTAAGGAAAGGCAAAGGTACACTGTCAATATAAAGATGGCCATCAACCGTGGATGATGTGCACGAGATAATTAATAATAGTAAAAATTCCTTTAGTACAGATGTTACATACATTTTTGTAATCTTCGCTGATGTACAATAACTGAACCGCTTGAGAGTAAAGAACAATAAAAGCATTGTACATTTTAAGAGGCCGTCTTTGTTTTGGCTGCGCTTGTTTCATTGTTTGCTAATTAGAGGGATGAAGTGTATTTATTTTTATTATCTGAACCTCGTTAACGTGTATAGAGTGGGCATATATTTATGAGCGAATATGGAAGAACGTACAATACGAAGTTCAATATTATACTTTACTGTTTCTCGTGCATTTCAGAATGTTTCTTCCTACCATCAATAATCTTGAGTCTAAAGTTACAAGTCTTATAAACGAAAAGCTATTAAAATTCTGAATTACTTTATACTCATTATCTCTTTTGTGAAACTATCGTGGATCATTCACTACACGCGTTGTTGTTGAAACTATCCTGGATATTAATCATTTACTACATGAATTATTGTACAAAGTATCCTAGATATTACGCATCATGAAGGACAACAGTAAAGTATCATTTATTACATTTACATGTTTTATTCATCCAGGAAAAATGTTTCACAATTAAATAGAGTCGTTGTTAAAGTTTAAGCAAGTTCTAAATTGATAAACTACTTACTAACTAATTCTTGTTGTTCTGAATAGTATATAACCAAAGTTGTTTGAATTTCTGACTCAGTACGATATTAATGTGCATCGAGTTAATTTTTCTCTGATAATTGTATAAACCAACGTGTTGTAGTTTCTGACTCAGTACGATATTAATGTGCATCGAGTTAATTTTTCTCTGATAAGTGTATTAACCAACGTGTTGTAGTTTCTGACTCAGTACGATATTAATGTGCATCGAGTTAATTTTTCTCTGATAAGTGTATAAACCAACGTGTTGTAGTTACTGACTCAGTACGATATTAATGTGCATCGAGTTAATTTTTCTCTGATAAGTGTATAAACCAACGTGTTGTAGTTTCTGACTCAGTACGATATTAATGTGCATCGAGTTAATTTTTCTCTGATAAGTGTATTAACCAACGTGTTGTAGTTTCTGACTCAGTACGATATTCATGTGCATTTAATTAATTTTTCTCTGATAAGTGTATTAACCAACGTGTTGTAGTTACTGACTCAGTACGATATTCATTTGCATTTAGTTATGTTTCTCTGATAAGTATATTATGTTTCTCTGATAAGTATATTAACCAACGTGTTGTAATTACTGATTCAGTATGCTATTTCTGGCGTATATAGTTTTTCTTTCTTTGTGTTTGCCACCCCCACCCCCCAGTGCTACAGCGGAATGCCTACGGACTTATAACGCTAGAATCGGGTTTCGATACACTTGGTGGGCAGAGCACAGATAGTCCATTGTGTATGTATGTGATGTCTGATAATAGTCAAAATGTCAATATCATAATTTTACTGAGAATTTTGTTGGTCTAAGCTTGCTTCATTCATAATTTTAGTTTTTTGTTTTTTTTTGTTTTTTTTTGTCTAAGACTGCTTGAGTCGTAATTTTAGATTTGCTGGTCTAGGTCCGCTTGAGTCGTGAAGAGAAATACAGTTGGTTGGTAGTATATAGTGAAGAGAAATACAGTTGGTTGGTAGTATATAGTGAAGAGAAATACAGTTGGTTGATAGTATATAGTGAAGAGAAATACAGTTGGTTGATAGTATATAGTGAAGAGAAATACAGTTGGTTGATAGTATATAGTGAAGAGAAATACAGTTGGTTGGTGGTATATAGTGAAGAGAAATACAGTTGGTTGGTGGTATATAGTGAAGAGAAATACAGTTGGTTGGTGGTATAT